CTGGGAGGCCTGGGACCGGGAAGGCCATCTGCGAATCCGCTGGAGTCGCGGTGGGAGACCAGGTCTGCAAGTGGCTCGGTGTCAGCTCTCAACGGGGATGTTCCTTGATTAGAGGCCAATGGGCCAATGGGTGGGGAACTGGGGGTACAGTGGGGTCCTTACGCTGGTGGAAAACAGCCTCCAGCCACCTGGAGAGTCCCAAAGAGCTCAGGATACGGTGCCTGGGATGGAAGCAGGGCCGCCAGGAGTGTCATCCCGCAGCTTCGCGGGAACCCGCACCGCAGAAGCAGAGCCTCAGCTCGGCTGGGGGGTGGTGCGGGGGGAGCTTAGACAGGCTCTCATTTTGCAGGAGGGGAAACTGAGGCTTAGTGTGGTCTGAGTGAGTTGCCTCAAGTCAAACTGTAAAATCAGAGAGGGAGGAAGAGAAGGAGAAAGGGAGGGAGGGAAGGAGGGAGGGAAAAAAAGAGCCTTGAAGTTCTGTCTGGTGAAAATGTTGAAGAAACAGGTTTCCCTAGTTTGTGGCCACCCCTGACACTTTCGGCATTTACATAGTCCCTGTCTACATATAATTTCCTGCAGTTCAATCTAACTGAGCCTCTGACTGCTGTGAATAAATAAGTCTGTGTATCATTTCGAAGGGCACCACCCTGATACCTCAGGTAGACTCCCGCTGAGCCCTCCTCTCTGAGCGCCTCAGTGGATGAGAACAGTCAATATCTCTTTAGCTCCCACGAGTCTCAGGGTTTGTAACTGATGCCATGCATCCCCAGAAGGGCTCTGAGACAGGGTGAGGCTGATGTTTGCAGCAAGGTTAGCCGTCTGCTCTGAATGGAAGGCACCCCTTCAGAAACAACTCTAGTATGATATTTTGAATAAATTAATGGTGGTGGCTGCTTTCTCTTTGTTCCTGTGGGTTACTGTTCCATGGTGTGTGGCTAGTGTGTTTGAAGTTTAATTTTCTCTGTATCATAGCAGACAAGGGCTTGATATGACCTCAAATCAAATAGTTTACCAACACATTTAATTACCCCAAACTTCATTATTATAGTTATTCAAATGTAGTTATCAACAGAAATCGTTTTAAGTCCTACAGATAAAGTCTCTTCAAATGCTGTCTAAAGTAGTTACCAGTTTGTGTTTGTTTTTGCCATACTGGAAATGGAACCCAGGGGCAAGCGCTCTACTACTGAGCTACATCCCCGACTCTTCATATTCTATTTTTTAAAAAGGAAATAAAATATTCTTGAGTGAATATTTTAAGAAATTGATGACTCCCCCCTTCTTTGTCCAAAAGTTATATGTGCTTATACTTTGACAGGCATTATAACACCACAACAGAGATCCACGATAATGCATTCCATCGTCACTGATTTACTCAAAGGCACTGCATTTGCTAGGCAATAAGAGGTTTTGTGCATAATTTTATCCATTCAGCAGTATCCTTATCCATCTTTTCGTTAACCAAGACTTTAAACTTTTCTCCATGGCTGGTTTTTATAGCCAAAATCTGCATTTCAGGAATGTTGTGTTTGCTAAGATTCCTGCAATCCACATCAAACATGGGTTTCTAGACTTGGAAAGTGGTCCAATTTATCAGATATTGTATAAATGTAGGCTAAATTCTTCTCCCTTCATTACTGAGCACAAGTTTTTTAATAAAAACTCGGAACTCAGATGGACTTTCTGATCTGTATGGAAGGACTGGACTCTGTTGGTGAATGTGGAGTGTTTTATTTTGAACAGGCTTCATAGTCTATTGATTAGTTTGAGGGAAAAATCCATGGTAAGTACAAATCTCTGGAGAGATTTCTCCCTCAGTTTGGGAAAACTACCTCATCTTTTTCTTTTTCTTTCTTTTTTTAAATTTTCATATTTTATTTATTTTTATTTTATGTGTATGTATGTATTGCCTGCATGTCGGTAAGTGCACCCGTGTTGTGCAATGCCCTGGGAGGACAGAAGAGCTGTTGGATTCCCTGGAACTGGAGTTATGGACAGTGGTCAGTTGCCATGTGGGTGCTGGGATTCAAACACAGGTCTTCTGAAAGAACAACCAGTGTTTTTAAATGCCGAGCCATCTCTCTGACCCCTTTTTTTTTAAAAAAAAAAAATTTTATTATTTATTTTATTTTATGTGCATGATTGTATTGCCTGCATGTGTGTAAGTGCACAGGTGTCATGTGGTGCTCGAGGAGGTCAGAAGAGGGTGTCAGCTCCCTTGGAACTGGAGTTACAGATGGTCGTTGACCGCCATGTGGATGCTGGGAATCAAACCTGGGTCCTTTGCAAGAGCAGTTAGTGCCATCTCTCCAGCCCTTTTCATCTTTTTCAAAAAGACAAATAAAATAAAATGTGCTGCATAAATATAAGCAAATGCAAGTGGTGGTGTCTTTGGGAATTGGACTGCAGTTGAGTGCCTGCCTCTCCCTTTGTAGCATAGCTCAGCTCCTTGTCCACACCATCCATAGGAGTCTTGCTGGGTGTTAGAAAAAGTTGTTGTGACTGATGGGGTTGGAGGGTTCAATGAGGCTGCCGGCTTATGCTCTACGCAGAGGCCTTATTTGCATTTTTACTTACTGTTTGTTACATTCTTACCAGGGTACATACTATTAACAATCTGCAGGACATGAAACCAGGCTCAGTGTGGGCTGAATGAGTTGATTCAGGTCATAGAAGTAACAAGTTATAGAACTAGGATTAGAAAACAAACTGGATCTTGGTTCTGTATAAAAATCTACTTATTTATTATTTTTATTTATAATTGGAAGAAAATTTTCATTTCTCCCCAGAGGGGGGAAAATGACCATGTGCACATGTACACACACATTTTCATATCACTTCAGTGTCCATCTCCCTCTGAAGACCTTGTTAACCTCTCAGGCCTCTGATTCTTGCTGTCACTGTATTTGGTACCCAATGAGGCAGAAAGCATATGCACATGGTACCTAAGCCATATGTACATGCAGGCACTCTTTTCAAAAAAAATATTTTATGTATTATTTTTAATTTATGTGTATGAGTGTATTGCCTACATGCATGTGAGTGCACCCGTGTTGTGCAATGACGCAGGCACTCTTTTTCTAATAAGAACATCCCTGGAATTTGTTAGCTTTCAACTAGGTGAGAGTTCACTGAGTAACTGAAGCCAACAGGAAACTGACACCTTCTGTCCTAATTGGCACTCATCTCATTAACATGGTCTGGGAGTATAGGACAGCTCTGAATCACTGGGGCAGCCCTGCAGGCTTTCCTGAACAGACTAAGTACCCGCCCCACGAAAATAGTCACAGCTCCACCACTGTCATCTGCAGCAGCCCAAGAGGTCCTTCAACTTTTTAGGGCTTCCCTACTCAGACAAAACTGCATCCTTGGGGTCAATGCAGAACAGAATTTCAGGACTAGCCGGTATGAAGCAGAGTTGGAGTTTATTAAAGACATTTTAATACAGATTTTAAGCAGGAAAGTTAAAAGAGAAAGAGGGGCACTCCAGAGGAAGAATGAGACAAACTCAAGTGCGGATATGGGTTTCTCAAGAGAGACTCACAATTGTCTTGACCAATTACCCTTATATGCCATTTTGGTGGCTCTCAAATTACAGCTCAAAGGGTTGCTAAGAAACTTCTTTTCCTTCTCTTTCACCTTTTGATAAGTGGGAATATAAAGTGGCTTCAGAGGTGCCTTGGATGGAATTATCATCTAATAAAGTAGAATCAAGCACAATAAGGGGTTTAGAACAAGTCCTTTTCCTGCAAAGTGGTTTCTGGTGCTATTCCCGGGAAACTGCAGGTGTACAGCTGAAGAGGGAGGAAGACCTTAAGCAAATGTTAATTGTGCTGGAGTTCTTGATTTTCAGTGGAGGAGGCTTGAACCAGACTCTCCAGTGAGGGGTTTATTTCTGTCCTCAAGTTCTCAGAATTTTCCCCAACTTTCCTTTTCTTTAAATTATTTTTGATTTATTTATTTTAATTTTATGTGTATGAGTGTTACACCTGCATGTGTGTAAGTGCACCCATGTCATGCAATGCCTGTGGAGGACAGAAGAGGGTGTCAGATCCTCTGAAATTGGAGTTACCCATGGTTGTTGCTGTCATGTGGATTCTGGGATTTGAATCCTGGTCTTCTGCAAGAATAGCTAGTGCTCTTAACTGCTGTGCCATCTCTTCAGTCCAATTTTCCCAAACTTTCTAATCTGCCTCAGGAACAGCAGCTCTTTTGTTCAGCTTTGTCCTGAACTTTTCCTGCAGTAGCAAACAACATGGGCTAGCTGAGTGGCATGTTTTGTTCCCACCGTAGAGATGGCAGATCCTGAGGTGGTCGTAAGCAGCTGCAGCTCCCACGAAGAGGAAAATCGTGGCGCTTTCAAGCAGCATACACCTTCAACAGAGGAGCTTCTGTTGGAAGACCGGATGAGGCGGAAACTCAAATTCTTCTTTATGAATCCTTGTGAGAAGTTCTGGGCTCGAGGTAGAAAGCCCTGGAAACTTGCCATACAAATTCTAAAAATTGCAATGGTGACCATCCAGGTGAGTACCTTCCATCACAAGTTTGGTAGCCACAAAGACAGCAGAGGACAGTTTTAAAAGCAACTTTTGGGAGGTTAGGTGAGGGTGGAGATGGGGGAGGGGGTTTGAATTTGATCAAAATAGATTGTAAGAAATACTTAAATCAATAAATTAAAAAGTAAAACCAATTAGCTGCATGTATAATGAAAGACAATAAATACAGAAAGCTACAACCTTAAACCCTGCTCTCTTCAGCATTTCTGACTTTTTTTTCTTTATCATTTTTCATTGTTGTAATTTTAGCCACATAATAGTTTTCAGGACAGGAGATTTTAATATTTTAATTCTAACGAAGACAGTTCACAGTTTCTAAGTCTTCTATTGAGACTAGCTGACTCTCAATGTGAGGACTCTCTTTTCCTTTCTAGTTTTCTAGGCATTTCTTTCTCTGGAAGCTTCACAGGTTTCTGTTACACAATCTCTTGAATTCTTACAGTCCTAAATCATGAGAACCATATGGTGAGAGAACGTGGAGGTAACAAAAGAGCCTGTGACATGGGCCTTCATTTTACTTAGAAGTGAAATTCCGTATCTATTTTCCTTGGTATCTTAAAAAGTATTTTTGAGGAATCATATTTTGTGATAGTTACATATACTGATTTTGATTTACTCTCATGAAAATGTGGTTTTGGGATTGGCAAGATGGCTTAGTAGGGCAAAGAGGCTTGTGACCAAGCCTGATGACCTGAGTTCAAGTCCCAGAACTCACGTGGAGGAAGGAGGGAACTTAATTCTGCAAGATGTCCTCTGACCTCTACACATTGCCTGTGGCACAAGTGCCCACATATGCAAGAGCGCGTGTGTACACACACAATCAATCAATGAAAAAATGTTAAAAAAAAAAGCGTTTTCCTGCTGGTGAAAGGAAGCATCTCTTTTTAAAAGCAGAAGGGTAAAAATGAAAGATTTTACAGGTGAAAATACATGTGATAGGTTTATTTTTCTTTCCTATTCTTGGTGAACAACTGATATTGAAGGAAGAGTTTTAAAAAAGAACCTTGAGATTACTAATCTTAATTGCTTACTAGAACAAATGCTTATGATTGTAGAAGTGAAGGCAGTTTCTAGAATGGTCTGAGGTTGGTGGAATTTTTATTTAGATTTCTTAACACTAGACTGGCGTGACCACTCTCTTCCAGTACATTTTTTTCATTTAATTCTAATCACACTCCTACTGGGTAAATACCAGCACCTCTCATCTCACAGAAAAGGAAATTACCAGTTATAGTTTTTAACCAGTAATAGGCTCATCGGTGGCTGCATCCAGATGTCAGAGGTGGGCGCACTTTGTTTTTAAAACATCACCATGAAGACAGATTCAGTTCTCAGTGAAATACTTGGCAACCTGGAATCAAAATTCTTAATTTCCAGGTGATAATACAATGTGTTACAGTAGTGAAAAGCCTATCTGTGTTGGGAAGAAAGCTTGTATCAGTTAGATAGGAATGCTTATTCTTAGAATAATAGGTACACTTGAGTGGTTGCTGTGCACTGGGCTATTTTACAGATGTCATGTTCGATTCTTAATTGGAGCTGAGCAGCAGTGTCTCATAGAAACAGCACCAAGGCTAAGTGTGATTCCTTTACCTGTGGGATTCAGGAAAGTAAAGATCATAGCTGAGCTTCATACCCTCAGATTTGCATATGCTAAGGCTTATGTTCTAGATTACTCCCTTACTTCTTTTTAGAGAATTCATCTGACCTTACTATAGTTACTAGAGTGGCCAAGAGGAACACTAGCCAGTGGTTTATCCCTTTGGTAAGAAACATGTAAAAGGTGTTGGTGTTGTATGTTTTAAAGAAAGAACTGAAGGTTTAATTGTTGGTTGATTTTTTGAGACAGGGTCTCACTCTGTAGCCCAGGCTAGTCTGGAACTCATAGGCTGGACTGACTTGAAACTCACAGTCTCTTGAGTGCTAGAATTACAGGCAGGAGCCTGCAGACCTCGCTTTTTAAAAATAATAGTCTTCAAAAGATTATTTTATTCATATGTATGTATGTATGTATGTATGTATGTCAGTTTGAGTGTCTTCCATGTGTGTGAGGTGCCCATGGGGGCCAGGGAGGGTATCAGAGCCCCTGGAGCTGGAGTTACAGATGGTTGTAAGTCACCTAGTGTTGGTCCTGGGACTGGAACTCCGGTCCTCTGCCAAAGTAGTAAGTGCTCTTAAAGCCAGCGCCATCTCTCTAGTTCCTACACCTGGCTCTTCATTGTAATCTTTCCTTAATCTGTACCTGAGTACTCCAATTGCATCACATAAAGGCATCTTTGTCAGTGAGTAAATGAAAGTGAATTGTTGACAGATGATCTCTTTTTTAGGGAAAAGGAGTCTCTGTTAAGTAGATTTTATTTTTCAGCAGCAAAAGAAAGACATCAAGCAACAGTCACACTCCCAAAGGTGCTGCTTCTCTCACCGTCCCATCCAGTCTCTGAAGTCTCCAGGTCTCTTGGCTATTTTTGCTTCCATCTGATACCATGTTACTAGAACTCCAAGTCTATTGCTCAACACTTTTCCAATGAATGGGGAGACAAGAAGTGATAAAAGGAAATGAGTTTATTTACAGTTTTGGCCAGAACTAGAGAGAAGCAAACAAATACCATCTCTTCATTTCTTTGCCTTGTCTTTAACAGTTTCATAAATTATAGAAAAGATGCAACGGAGGCCAGGCAGTTTGCATCTGTGCGTGTATCTATGACATACGTTACCTGAACTTTTAAGACTTTTCCTGGAAGAGGAGAGAGTTCTTCCTTTGGCATCAGAGCTTCAGTCCCAGCACCAGATTATTGTTTTTTCTGTCCTGTAACGGCTTGTACTTGAGGACCGGGTCTGATCGTCTTCTGTGTCCAGTCCTCAGCTTAGTGTTGGCACAGGGTAGGTACTTGAGCATCTGAATGAAATAGCGAGAATATCTTTGGGAAACCTTTGGAGATTCTTTGGGCTATCAGCTTTGATAGATGTCAGGTCAGGGACCAATCCTAACCCTAACTGTGATCTTACCAAACTGTGATCTTACTAGGATTTTAAATGAGGATACTTAGCTTAAGGAAACCCTTCAGAGATGGGAATTGAGTCAGGTGGTGGATGGTGGCCTGTGAGTGCAGGTCACAGGTCACAAGGAGTGGGAAGAATGCTCTGTATTTTTCTTCACCCAGACTCTGGATTACCTTTCCTAGAGGGATAGAATAGACAGAGTTTGGATTTAGCCTATCAGACATGGATTACAATTGTGAGTATAGACTTGTTAGTGATGCGACTTTAAAATTTATTTAATTCTCTGAGTCTTTAAGAACTCATCTGTAGAATTGTTACGTTAGGAACTATACTACAGGATTAATATAGACAAGGAGATTTCCTGCAATAGTGTCCAACACACAGGTGCTCAGTGCTGTTCTCTAATCTAAAATATGCCCTGCCTCACTCCTGGGTCTGAAACAGGGTATCAAAGGGAGGGGAGGGAGAGTGGGGAGAGAATGAATAAGAGACGATGAATGAGAGAGAGAGAGAGAGAGAGAGAGAGAGAGAGAGAGAGAGAGAGGAAAGAATGTGAGAATGCAGGAAGGGAAGGAACTGGAGCAGAAGGGGGTTGGGAGGGAGAAATTGAAGTGGTTTTAGGGGGAAAGCAGAGAGATTTGGAGCGAAGCAAGCTTTTGGGTTTGATTGACAGCAGCACAGTGAAACAACTGTTTGCAACAACTGTTTGCAAATGTGAACAGCTAAGTTTTGTTAAAATTCTGGAGTCAATCCTACCTAAACATTAAGGACACATTATGTTAGTATACTCTAAGTTAGAGAAGAGTTGAAAAGATAGTTTCAATTTTGGGTCTTACTGGCACAATTCAGGTAATGAGGTCTAGGAATTTAGATTAGTCATAGGACTTGATCTTTCTTACAGTTTGTTATCCAGTAGCTGTAAGCATTTGTGTGTGTGTGTGTGTGTGTGTGTGTGTGTACATTTATGTGTGAATGAGGGCACACACATGCCACAGCATGCATGTAGAGGTGGTGTCCTAGTTTGTTTCTCCATTGCTGTGACAAAATACTCTGACCAATACCAACTTGGGGAGGAAAGGGTTTATTTGGCTTATATCTCCTGGGTCATGGTTCATCAGGAAGCCCAAGGTAGGAGCTCAGGGCAGGAACCTGGAGGCAGGAGGAGAATCGATGCTTGCTGGCTTGCTCCCCTGGTCCCTGCTCAGCCTGCTTTCTTATGGACCACAGGCCCATCTGCTCAGGGGTGGCACCACCTACAGTGGGCTGGGCCCTCTCACATCACTCAACAATCAAGATGTCCCACAGATATGGCCACAGGTCAGTCCAATGGAAGCAATTCCCTAATTGAGGCTCCCTCAATCCAGGTGTGTCAAGTTGACACTAAAGCTATCCAGCACAGGTGAGGACAACCTCAGGCTCCAGTCCTTACCATCTGCCTTCTTTGACACAGGGTCTCTGGTGTTTCTTTTTTTAATCAACCGCCAAGAAGTCTCCTATCTCCTTCTCATCTCCCTGTAGGAATGCTGAAACAGGCTGGGCCTTTGCATGGGTTCTGGGATTTGAACTCAGGTCACATTTTTACCCACTTTGCCGTCTCCCTAGCCCCCAAGCTGGAGCCTTCTTGATATCCTACAGAATTGGTTGCAAGCTCTTCTGCTTTCCAGTCAAGCCCCTGCAACACATGCCTCGATTTCTTTTCTGTTCAGGCTTTTTATCCTCTTACTGTTTCTTTTTTTCTTTTAAGCTGGTCCTTTTTGGACTAAGTAATCAGATGGTGGTAGCTTTCAAGGAAGAGAACACTATAGCCTTCAAACACCTCTTTCTAAAAGGATACATGGATCGAGTGGATGACACGTATGCAGTGTACACACAAAATGACGTGTACGATCAGATCATCTTTGCAGTGAACCAGGTAAATCAAGTGTATGCTTTTTGCTTTTTTTTTTTTAAAAAAAAAAAAACGTTAGGGGTTGGAACTCAGGGCCTTGCATATGCTAGCCAAATATTCTACCACTGAGCTCTATCTTCAGACAGTGTATGAATTCTTTACTTGAGAGAAGGAACAGATTTGAAAAATGGCAGCAAAGGATGATACTGAAACAGACACACAGGTATTGAAAGTGAACAGTTCTATTTAGAAATGACTTACAAATCAGACTATTTAAAATTGGTTTATGTGGGGTTGGAGAGATATCCAAAGAGTCCTTTTTGGATAGAGGTTAAGAGTCCTCTTCCAGAGGACCCAGGTTCAGTTCCCAGCACCCACATGGACGCTAACAACCGTTTATAGCTCCAGTCCCAGGCAATTTGACATCCTCTTCTGGCCTGCATTGGTCATATTAAAATAAAATCAAGCAAACCAAAAAATCTAAAAGCATTGACTTAAAATTATTTCCAACAAACTTTTATAAAACTAGAAATTGAGAGAAGCTTTTGTTTTGTACCGTCAGAGAGATGGAAACTTTAATGACTTAATTAAAAGAATATAGGCTCGGCTCAACTATGGGAGCTTCAACATTTAAAATTACTGACATGACCTGGACATAAGTATTCATTAAGTCTTCAAAGCTTATACTTTCAGAGGCTAACAACAAGTAATGAGAATATTAGCTTTGCGGAGTTTGTGCAGTAAGGCTACGAGTTCATTTAGGAGTAAGGCTTTTATGTCTTGATGGACAATGATTACATTGTGATATTAACTAACTTCCAGACAGAGTAAGCTTGTTTTCCTATGGATGAGTCATATTTTTATTCTGGGTTCTTCTTGTTATGAATAGTACTTTCTCAAGGTCCTAAATTGCTTTTTTGTAGCATCATTGAAAGTGCTCTTGAAGTCACTAATTCCATTCTAGGTTAGTTACAGATCACATTTCATAACAGTTACAACCTTTCTTCAGGCATCATCGCAATGCAGTCATGACTTTTCCTTTTCCAGAGGTAACTGATTTAAACTGAGGTATGAACTTCTGGGATAAAATATGTCTTTATGGAGCCAAGACACCTGGTTAGCACTGGGATTTGGAAAATTAGTTATAGACATAAGCTTCATATATTGTTAAATAGAATTATGTTGTACAACTCTTAGAGGGAAAGTAGCTCGCTGTTGAAGACAAGTTTTTTTTTTAAATATATTTGTTGTTTGTTTTATGTGGATGAGGGTATTGCTGCTGCACCTGTGTCATGCAATGCCCATGGAAGTCAGAAGAGGGCATCAAGTCCCCTGGAACTAGAGTCACTGATGGTTGTTAGCTGCCATGTGGGTGTTGAGAATCAAACTTGGATCCTCTGCAGGAGCAGCCACTGCTCTTAACCACTGAGCCATCTCTCCAACCCTGAAGACAAGTTTTAAGATAAAAAATAATATGCGTATATGTATGATGTGTGTGTAGCCAGTCCTTGCCTTCCCTTGTTTGAGGTCTCTTGTTATTTGCCACTGTATCTACTAGACTGCCTAGCTTACAAGATTCTTGGGGGAGGGTCTCCCATCTTCCCATAAGAGCAATTATAGATTCATACCACTGTGCCTGGCTTTATGTGGATTTGGGGGATTTGAATTCAGGTCCTTACACTTGTGTGACAAATCTTCTACCCACTGAGCCATCTCTGCAGCCTGAGATTTTTGTTTTAAGTGTATTGAAGCTACTCTGAACCAAATTGTTATGGTTTTTGAGGGGGTACCTAGAAGCTGGGGGTAAATAGTCCATTAATTTTGTTGTTGTTGTCTTATATAAGAGAAGATGGCTTTGAACTCACTATGTAGCTTAGGCTGCCACTGATCTCTTGATCTCCTGCCTCGATCTCCCAAAAGCATCACCACACCAGGCTAACAGACCACTAAATTCTTTATAAAGCATCTTTATCTTTATTACTAGGGCTAAACTCAGTCTTCAAAGTATTGTATTTGGCATTCGAGTCATTCTGCTTGCTAGCTCTCCGTGTTCTTTCCAGGTAGAAAGTCATGAAAGATCCCTCACTTAGTTGTCACACTTGTTCCTGCTGCTATAACAAAACACATGACATAATAAGCAAAAGCAGCTTCCTTCTTCTGGTTCTGGAAGCTTGAGAGGCTAAGCTCAAGACACCCAAAAGGCCCAGGTAGCACACCTTCTTGCTGTGTCCTTCCATGACAGAAGGGATACAGAGGGCAAAAGGGCCTAACTAGTCCTTCTTGCCTTGTGATGTTGGAATTGTTTGTTCTTACAGCTCAAACACAGTGTATAAATTCTCAGAGCCAGGGCAGGAGAGATGGCTAAAGAATTAGGGGAATTTGCTGCTCTTACAGAGGACCTGGGTTCATAAACTCATGCACACACACACACACACACACACACACATATATATATAATATATTTAAATATATATATTTATGTGGCACACATAAACTCATGCACATATATATATATATATTAATTAATTTAAAAGTTCCTGAATTTGATTGTTTTCCTTTCTTCTCCACCTAGTAATCCTACCACATCTTCACCATTTTCTAAAGAATTCACCTAAAATCAGAGTTCTTAGTGCATAATGCTATGCATGACATAGAGAGATAGGTGCACATGTCTGCCATCATCCACACAAAAGGCTGGAGAGATGGCCCAATGGTCAAGAGGACTTGGGCCTTGCAGAGGACTGCAGTTCTGCTCCTAGAACCCATATCAGGTGGCTCACAACCATCTGTAATTCCAGCTCCAGGGGCTCCAACACCCTCTTCAGGCCTCGGTAGGCACCTGCACATATGTGGCATATACACACACAAAGACACACACACTCATGCAAATAAATAAATCTTTTAAAAGAGTTAATACATATATACGAACCTCATGACATTTAATGTATTTGCTCCATGAAGACAGAAGTATCAGACACCAAAATGTTTGTGAATGAGCTCAAAATACTATATGTGTTAGGATCAGAGGACACAGAAGGGCCACAAATGAACAATGTATAATTTGCTTCCCTTTTGTCGACACAGTACTCAGCTAAGGACCTTTAATTTTGTTTTTATTTTACCACTCAAAGTATGACCTGGGATCCTGCAGAACTGCAGAGGTCAGAAGGGATGATGCCCAGGACAAGGAAAGCCCCCTAAGAGGCCTTAGCTGCTTAAATGCCTTGTACAGTCTACCCAGGAGTTCTCCAGACCAAATGCCTTCTGACCACAGTTTCACCCTAAACTCTTGTCCCAGAACCTTCTAACTTGGTCTTCAACCATTTAGTGGACATAGTTCCACCACTTGCCCTAGACAATCTAGCTCTTGCCCAATGCTCAAATTTCTACCATGAGCCTTACCAAGACATCCCTGAAGTCAGGCTGTCATGTGGCTTCTAATGTTAGCAGGTATCTGTGCCCTGACTGCACATCATTTGCCTTTCAAGATCTGAAAAGTCTGAAGACATAGAATGTGTGGTGAGGACGTTCAGAGCTCCTGTGAGGATTGTTAGAATTGGCCCACACATGTACAGTGGGGGACTCAGAGGGAGAACAGGACCCCAGTATAGATAGGTACAGCTGTACTTCACAACCCTGCTTAGCTTTGCAGATTTGCCTCCCATTTGTACCCCACATCCCAGGTGTATTGGTCCACTTGCTGGGAAGTAACTCCACAAAGCTGAGTATTTCCAGCATTATACTATTTCCCCTACATGTGTAGATCATAATGTTATTTACTAACTTGTACAATAGTCTCTATTACTGCACTCACTAGGACAAGGAAAATGTTTCTGTGAAAATGCTTGAACTATATTGTTTTAAAAATATTTTGTTTAGCTGGGCGTGGTAGCACACACCTTTAATCACAGCTCTTGGGAGGCAGAGGCAGGCGGATCTTTGTGAGTTCGAGGCCAGCCTGGTCTACATAGTGAGTTCCAGGACAGCTGGGGCTACAGGGAGACCCTGTCTCAAAAAGACCAAAATTTTTTTTTATTTAGTATTTTGATTTTTTTATGTGTATGAGTATATTGCTTGCATGTGAATAAGTGCACCCATGTCGTGGTGTACAGAAGATGGCGTTGGATCCTCTGAAACTGGAGTTATGGATGGTTGTTAGTCACCACATGGGTGCTAGGATTTGAACCTGGGTCTTCTGCAAGAGCAGCCAGAACTCTTAGCCGCTGAGCCATCTCTCCAGGCCCCAAAATGATTAAACTATATTCTTGCCATGAAAATTATTAGATCAGGATTTCTAGAAAAGATTTTAATGGTAAGCCTGGAACAAATGTATCCTACTTCTTATATCAACAGTAGTAAATTAGAATGAAGACCTTTCAGGAAATAATTGTAAATAAAATTTCTATTTACACTGGATGTAAAAGTAAATCCCTGGACATAACTCTTTAAAGAAGGAAAGAACCCTGTATTTCTTTCTGTTGCTGTGATAAAATACTCTGACAAAGCAGCTGAAGGAAGAAAGGTTTTGTTTTGGCTTACAGTTGCAGAGGGGATACAGTCCACTGTGGTGGGGAAGGCACGGCAGCAGGGGGTAAGGCTGACCAGCAGTCAGGAAGAACAGGAAGTAGGGCTAAGCTATAAAACCACAGTCTGCCCCCAGTGACATACTTCCTCCAGCAAGGCTTCACCTTTGGAAGGTTCCACAACCTTCTCAAGATAGCACTACCAGCTGAGGACCAAGTGTTCGAACACGTGAGACTATAAAGGGATATTTCTCATTCAACCACAAGTCACAAAGATTATGTAGCTTCAGATTTTAGTTTTGAAGGAAACCGATGCTCAGAAATATTTTGATAGAGCTGAGCCTTGAACCCAGAACTCTCCTCAGAGAGTGCTCTATGCCCTGTTTTTCCTGGTGCGCTGTAGGAAGGCACAGTACTCTGCACGTCAACCTGAGTGTCTGTACCCTGAGGGGAGGTGGGAACCAGACGTGACCAGGCGGGGCCAACACAGCTTCACTTCTGCCTAGGCTGACATCCCACTCCCTATCTTTCTTTTTGGTTCAAGTATCTACAGCTCCCCAACATTTCTGTTGGGAATCATGCTTATGAGAACAAGGGGACCAAGCAATCAGCCATGGCCATCTGTCAGCACTTCTACAAGAGAGGAAACATCTGTCCCGGGAATGACACCTTTGACATTGATCCAGAAATTGAAATGGGTGATGTTCTTCTATAATCTTGAGCTTCAGTTTTATACTTATGCCCTTTGCTTGTATCTCTAACACTTGATCGGGTTGGTGTTATCATGGCATAGTAAGAACTACATGGACTTATCATGCATCATCTACTACTGGGAACCTTTTACTATAACCCATGAATCCCCCCAAACAAAAACAAAGCCAGATGAGACGAGGGTTATTATTATTCCCATGTTGTAGAGGATTGAAGTGTGGCTCAGGGTTTTAGCTGCTCAGGATGGAGCTGGCTGAGGCAGCGCTGAACATGATCTCAGATCTCCTATGCTGTCAGTTACTGCACCCCCCCCAATCCACTCTGGACAAGCCAGTTAAAAACTGGATACTCTGCTTACCAAACATTCTGTTCACAAACTCTTGATGTATGGCATTGAGATGAATAGTAAAGGATTTCAACCAGGGAAAAATTTCCAAAATTCTGTCTTCTTTTAAAAAAAAGTGTTCACTGAGGGAAAATTGTCAACATATAAGAGCTTCAAATATCAATCCTTTAAGTTACTTAATCTTAGAAACTGCAACTGCTCCAAATCCTGCATTTATGATTCAAAAAGAAAAGAGGGAAAGACAGCATTTACTTAGACATAGAAATGGGAAGAAAGACGGCATTTACTTAGACATAGAAACGGGAAGAAAGATGGCATTTGGAGACAAGTTTGTCTTTATAACTTCCAACCACTCCAGAAATGCAGTCTCTAGGTTTTAAAAACATGGAAGGCTCTGAAACCAACTGGTATTGATGCTAAGCTTTTAAAAAATATATTAATTCACAGAAATGCAGTCTCTAGGTTTTAAAAACATGGAAGGCTCTGAAACCAACTGATATTGATGCTAAGCTTTTAAAAAATATATTAATTCACTGGGCATGGTGGTGCATGCCTTTAATCCCAGGCAGAGGCAGGCGGATCTCTGTGAGTTCAAGGCCAGCCTGGTCTACATAGTTCCAGAACAGCTGGGGCTACAGGGAGACCCTGTCTCAAAAAGACATATACATATATTCAAATAACTGATCTTGACTATGTCATCCTTTCAAAATACAGTTTTACTTGTCTTAGGCACTAGCTTATGGCTTTGTTCCTTCCTGTGGCAGAATGCTTCTTTATAGAGCCAGGTGAACCTTATCCTATTGGAACGCTAGAAGAAAATAAACTCAACTTGACCCTGGACTTCCACAGGTGAGGAAAGCCAAGGGGAGCACAGCTCTGGTTGTGTGTGGTTTTGTGTCCCCCAACGGGAGCTCAACTCTGGTTGTGTCCTGAACTGAAGCCTTTCTGCTTTTCAGACTCCTGACCTTGGAGCTTCAGTTTAAGCTGAAGTTCTAAAGATGTCATTTTCCTTAAGTCTATAAATTTAATTCAGATACACACACACACACACACACACACACACACACACACACACACACACACACACACACACACACACACACACACACACACACACACACACACACACACACACACACACACACACACACACACACACACACACACACACACACACACACACACACACACACACACACACACACACACACACACACACACACACACACACACACACACACACACACACACACACACACACACACACACACACACACACACACACACACACACACACACACACACACACACACACACACACACACACACACACACACACACACATTCCCCAAAGGATTTTCTGAGACCAGAGGTAGAAGCTAAGTCCATAATTCCAGTTCAATAGGAAAAAATGAATAGGGAGAATAGCCAGAGACATCCCACAAAAGACTTGACTTACTGACATAGGGGTTGACAGTTTAACAAGACAGAATGGAGATAGGGTAGTCAGGTCTGTTCTAGTTACTGTTTGCCAAACAAATACTTCCAGCTTTCCATTTTTGGCACATTTGTACAATTGTACTACCTGATCCTCTTATTTTGCAGGTGAGGTCATGTGACTGGTATTTGACAGGGATCTGTAAAGGTAACTGATGCCTGTTACTTCTAGGCTGACCATTGTATTGATTATATAAGATTCTCTAGGTTCTTCTTTCCTTTACTCAGCAGTTAGCAGACAATGTTCAAGAGTTTAGCAGTTCTGTTCACCCAAGTTCTTAAGTAAGGAGATATGGAACAACAGGACCTCCAGACAACTTGTTTTCATTTCATTTCGTTTTGTTTTGAGACAGGGTCTTACTGTAAAACCCTGGTTGGCCTTGAACTCATAGAATACCGGGACTAAAAGCATGTGCTACCATGCCTGGCTTCCAGCCAACTCTTGATAGACATGTACCAAAAAGAAGGGCAAATTTTCTTATAAGTCACTAAGATTTGGAGGGTGCTTGTTATCATGGCATAACCTAGCCTATACTACACTACAAAATTGAACTGAAAAGCTAATACAAGGGGCTGGAGAGATGGCTCAGCGGTTAAGAGCACTGACTGCTCTTGCAGAGGACCCAGGTTCAATTTCTAGCACCCACATGACGGCTATGAACCATCCTTAACTCTAGTTCCAGGGGAATCCAAAGCTCTCTTCTGACCTCCATGGGCATTGCACAACACAGATGCACTCACATACATGCAGGCAATACACTCAAACACATAAAATAAAAATAAATAAAATATTTTTAAAAAACAATTAAAAATTAAATTTCAGCCTCCAGGATATAAGGAATACCAGCTAAAAGATTGGACCATTCCCAAGTCTCTTAATCTTCTGCAAGCAGATCAGTTTATTGTAGATTCCTAACATTTCAGACAACACATGGATGATTAGTTCTGAAACGTCTCTTCACCTTCTCTATGCGTTCACACCTCCCTATTCCTTACTAACTATATCTCATGTTCCTCACCAAAAAAACTGTACGTGCCTAAACCAATGCTTATTGAGTGTATATTACATATTTCCACCTTCATTTTTTCTCATTTTAGTATTTTTAAAATATCCTTAAGAGTGGCAGAATCCTTATTTTTACAGATGAAGAAACCAAGGCTCAGAAGTGATGTGTAGTGACCCATGGTCACACATCCAGGGAGAGGTCAGGCAGGATTTGACTGTGAAGCATCCCACACTTAAAAAAATATTTTATTTATTATGTTTTTTGTTGTATGCATGTAGGTAAGTGCACCCGTGTCGTGCAATGCCTGAGGAGGACAGAAGAGACTGTCAGATCCCCTGGTACTGGAGTTACAGACAGTTGTTAGCTGCCATGTGGGTGCTGGGATTCGAACCTGGATCTTCTGTAAGAACAGTCAGTGTTCTTAACTGCTGGGCCATCTCTCCAGTCCCCACATCCCACACTTCATGCTGGTCTTCCATCTGGACTAGAGTAATAGGGGCTGGAGAGATGGCTCAGTGGTTAAGAGCACTGACTCCTCTTGCAGGGGACCCAGGTTCCATTTCCAGCACCCTCATGGTGGCTAATACCCATCTGTTAACTAATGCCCTCTTCTGGCCTCTCTGGGCATTCCATTCATGGATGCACTTACATGCATGTAGGCAAAACACTCATACCCATAAAGTAATGACAGAAACATCTATTGTTTAGACGCATGGGCAAGAATTCAGGTATAGAATGAGTGCTGTGAGGAATCTGAGAGTGGAACTAGAAAAAATTTCCAGGATTTGATGATTCTCTAAGAGTTTCTTGGATTCTATTGAGAAGAGAAAGCATTCCAGGTTCCTGCTACGATGTGGTTTCCTCTGTTCCACACAAGACAGTTCGCAGGTCTGGGCTAGGGTCTAGGAATGTGTAAGTAGTTGTTGGCCAGACCACGCTTTGGGCCATCATTGTTTTGGGTTTGCTTCTGATGGATTTGCCAAGTTCAGAAGTAATAGTGATGTGAGTGCATAAATCAAAGCAGCTCTTCTAATATTATTTGTAACAATGGGAACTTCACAAGGATGAGGTTCTTGAATTACAAGCCTTGTCTCAGACACAGACTTATTTGGAGCACAAGCCTGACCTCATAATGAATACGAATGAAGCACAGGAGGGTGTCTGGCACAGAGGACACTTTCCTTGGTTTTTAAGTTTTCTAAAGTTGAGTAGACATCTGGGCAGCCATTAGAAGCTGCTTGGAAGTCATGAATAGTATGCTTTATTACAGAACTCGTCTTAGATTACGATCTTTCCATCAGCACACAGCAGTCTAACTGGTAGAAATAAGGTCTATGGCAGAGGATAGAGTGGCTGCTGCCTCTGCCCTCTTTTCATCTGTGCCATGCTGGCCCTGACTTGGCACTTTTGATTCTCCAGAATTTCAATATGGATGGACCTTCCTACCCCCTCCCTCCATCCTTCCCTTCCCTTCCCTCCCCTCCCCTCCCCTTCCCTTTCCTTCTTCTTTCTTCTTCCCTGTTTTATTTTTTGAGACAATCTAGGCCTCAAACTCACAGTCCTCCTGACTCAGCCTTCAAGTGCTGGGATTTCAAGCCTAGCAGAGGCTGGCCCTTTCTTGTCCCTCAAGGCTCAGCTAAAACCTCAATGAGGCCACCCTTTGCTGTACAATGTACTTGAACCCATCTTCCCTTGCCACCTCTTCCTGATGGGCTATTAGCATGCATCTCCTGGAGGGCTCAGGGGACACAGAACTCAGATTCAATTGTTCTAGGGTAAGACCTGAGGATGTCCCTTACTGATAACCCCCCCCCAAAAAATCCTTGATACAGAGTGGAGGGTGCTGGAAATGGGCAGCAAAAGGAATGCTGACTCTGCCACTTACTGGCAGTGTCACCATGGCCTTCAGTTTTAGCATCTGTAAAATGGGGGCAAAATCACGAGCGTCTCACTGGGGCTGCTGTGAGGAGCCAATAAATTAATACACATACACTGCTTGGATCTATGTCAGGCAAGAATGTGCTGAGCACACACTTGAGATTATGATTGAAATTTGATTTTATCACTAACTGTGGAGTTACTTGGTCACATTACAGTTATACCCTAATAAACAGCCTAACTCTAAATTTTAGTTTTAAGAGTGGACCCGAACTCAAGGAGCATCCATCCCTCCAGATGTCTCCTGGAACTGTGCTCCTAAGCCCAGTCTTACCCATACTTTTATTCAAAACTGTTTCTCCAGTATCAACTGGGGAATTACAAACTTGAATCCATCCTTATCAGACAATTGCCCTCTGATCCCTCGGCCTAAAATATCTCATATGCACAATGGCAAGCATTCTTAATTCTGACTGCTTCCAATGAGGATACAAATATGAATATGTTCCTGTTCAGCCTTTGAAATGAGAATTCTAGCTTACCCCCATTCATTCACTGTTGAGGGCAGAGGGCAAATTGGGGTCTCAAGAGATCTAGGCCATAAGTTCATAATGCAGGTCACAAGAGTACATGATTCAGTAAACTTGTTTACATTATAAACAGAGGCCTTTTGGTTGCAAGATTAAGTAAAAGTCATTTGTCCAGATTCTATGCATTTTGTTAAAGTCATTCCTATATCTAATTTTTGGTTTATTTTTAGAGACAGGATCTTACTGTAGCCCCAGCTGACCTGGAGCTTATTATGTAGACCAGGCTGGCCTTGATCTCATAGAGATTCTCCTGCGTCTGCCTCCCTAGTGCTGGGACTAAAGGTGTGTGCACCATGCAGGATTATATCACTAATGTCTATCTGGGTGCATTTTGGTCATGTACTCCTGTACTCCTTTGCTTGTTTCACTATTGTGGATGTTCCATAAGATCAGGGAGCTTGTCTGTCATGTTTACCATCATGTCCCAGCATCTAGAAAAAGGCACGGTACATAGTGGAGCTTAATGAATATTTTATACGCAGATAAGTATATATTAAACAGGCTACGCAGGCAGGCCAATATATTGATTGATTGAATGACTTTAAAAAAATATTTGTTTTTATTTTATGTGTATGAGTGCTTTACCAGCATGTATGTATTTGTACCATGCGTGTGTATCTGGGTCCCAGAAAAGGGCATTGAATCCCCTGAAACTGGAGTTACAGATGGTTGTGAGCTGCCATGTGGGTGCTGGGAACAAAACTCAGGTCCTCTGCAAGAGTTGCAAGTGCTCTTAACCTCAATTCATCTCTCCAGCCCCTTGATTGTTTTTTTGTCTTTTGTTTAGAAAAAGAGTTTTGCTTTATGTAGCCCAGGCTGGCCTTGAGCTCACTATGCAATCAGGCTAGCCTAGAACTCCAGGCAATCTTACTGCTCATAAGTGCTGAGATTACAGGTATGCACTACCACACCCAGCAAGGAGAACCTATTAAAAGACTACAAGGCGATAACTAAAGATCTTTGATTGATGGTTATAGTGATTTTTCAAAAGAAGGGCCTTGTTACACAGGAATGGGAGGCATGCTCCTCAAGGCCTCTGTTCTTGGGTGTCTTTCTAAAATGTTTGAATTACCTAAATTATTCTAAAAAGAAGTCTAGGTCATCATATTAGTATGTCTCATCCCATCCACATTCGTGATCCTCTGTGCTTCCAGTTCAGAAGAACACACATTACATGATGATCTTCGATACCTTTGTCATCCTGACTTGCCTGTCCTCCTTGGTCCTCTGTGTGCGGTCTGTGATTAGAGGGCTCCGGCTTCAGCAGGTAGGGACGCTGCTTTCTGAGGACATGGTGGACCTTCTCAATCACCAGGGAAATAACTCACTGTGCCTCTCTTTCCCCTAAAGGAATTTATCAGTTTTTTCCTCCTCCATTATAAGAAGGATGTTTCTGCCTCTGATCAAATGGAATTTGTCAATGGATGGTATATTATGATTATCATTAGTGACATACTAACCATCATTGGATCAATTCTGAAAATGGAAATCCAAGCTAAGGTGATGTTGCTCTTCCTAATCATTCACAACAGTCAAATTTGCTGATGTAGGTTTTACAAAATACGAATGTTTTCTGAACAAATGCTTACTTTCAAGTCTTAGATTGAGTTAACTGGAAGTTGGCAGTGGTAGAGACAGGTCTTGAACTCCTGATTTTTTTACCCACTCCTTCCAAGCGCTGGAAGTCCAAGTATGCACCAGCACACCTAGCATAAATCTTTATTTTAGGAACCACAACTATCATTTACTCCAATGAGTCCTTAACAGTGTCTGATAATCATTCTTCAGTTTTCTTCTAAAAGTTTTTTTGATTGACTTATTTTTATTTTATGTGTATGACTGTTTTGCCTACATGTGTGTAAGTGCACTCATGTCATGCAATACTCACAAGGCCAAAAGAGGGCATTGGATGCCCTGGAACTGGTGTTTCAGATGATTGTGAGCTGTTGCGTCTGTGCTGGGAGCTGAACCAGGGTCCTCTGGAAGAACAGCCAGTGCTCTTAACCACTATGCCATCTCTCCAGCACCTGATTCTTTTTTCTACACAACGCTCTCTGCTTCTGAAACCTCAAACACCCTCCCTGTCCCCACTCTTATCTGAGCACCTCACATAAAAATAATAGGGGGGCTGGGCATGGTGGTGCACGACTTTAATCCCAGCACTTGGGAGGCAGAGGCAGGTGAATCTCTATGAATTTGAGGCCATCCTGGTCTCCACAGCAAATCCAGACCAGCTCAGGCTAGGGAGACCCTGTCTCAAAAAGACCCCCCCCCAAAAAAATTAGGGGGGAAACTCCGTAACTTCCCACCTTACCTCACCTTTCTGCGAGCTTTCAGTGCTCATATATTCTGTAACTATATCTAAGGCTAGCCCTCCACCCCCACCTGCCTTTCAGGAGCCGACCCCAGGTGGTTGTTCAAAGACATAGCTCCAGAATTTTTTCCCCTCTGGCAGTTTTCTCTACCCACAGTATGTTTTGACTTCCTTGGAAAAGTTCTGTGTCTCTCTCCATCTACTCTCCCATTTCTTTGCTCCCTTTTAGAGAACAAAAGATCTCAAAAAGCAATCTTGCTGGCGATTCTGTTCCTTCCATTCTTTGTGTGTCTCTTCCAGTCATGCCGCCTTGCCTCTCTGTGATCATCTTTCTGATGATCTCCCATGATGCCATTCCTGGTGACCATTACTCCCTATCCTGACCTATCAGTAGTTCTTCACAGCTGAGCAGGTTTGAGTTGACCTGCCTTTTTCCTGAGGTATCACTTATCTAGAGTTCCCCTGGAGTCCCTGTGGTCTTCAGAGGTTCCCCTATCAGCTCCCTCTCACTTTGCCAACCCACTGAGGTGATAATGCTTTGAGGTGTCCTGCTTGGACAACTCTTTTTTGCTACTATCTTGGAGTTACCAAGATAGTTACAGTGACCCAAATAGATAGTTCAGTAACTACTTGCCAATATTTACCAAATCTATATTTCCACCTTGGAATTCCCTGTATTCCAGACTTGAATATCCAATATCA